CGCAAATTGTCAGGACGAACATCCCTCCAATTCTAACAAATGCACCAAGTTCATACAACAAAAGGAAATTCTGAAAATTAAAATTCAGCAAAAATGCACACTGAAGCAAGCTAAAAATAAATACATAGCACAGCTACCCCAAACCTCATCCCCATCATCTTTTGCTGGCGTTGTCAGTAACGCAGCCAATGTACCCCTCAATGTACAATCAACCTCTCTTACCCCCACTGATAACATGCAATCAACAACATTAAAATCAAACCACATAGAGAATACGTTACCCACTCCACATATTACTCCAAAAGTAAGCAACAAATTCGTCATTAAAACTCCTAAACCTATAGTCACAGAAAACGAACTATCGGAGTCCGTATGCAACAACGCAAACACCTCTGTCACCACTAAGAGTTTTCCATCGTCAGCAACCGCGAGCAACGAAGCTAGCCCGGCACAACCAACCCCATCTTTAAGTTTCTCGCCATTTACTAGCCTTACCAAGCAGCTTTTGAAAAATAACGATTATTTCACTTCACAATCTACATCACTAGACTCAGATGTAGATATTTCCTAAAAAAAAAAAAAAGATTTCTTTTCCCTTCTTTTTGTCTGTCTTTTGTCCTCCACTGAGATGACTTTCACTTTGTTGCAATGGAATATCAAAGGACTTATTAATAATTCGCACGAACTTCAACTTCTCATAAAAGAACATTCCCCGTCACTTATATCATTACAGGAAACCCACTTACCTCATAACAAAACTACAACCATTTCAAATTCGTATAATCATTATTTCTATAACTTACCTCAAAACACATCCGGTAAACAAGGCGTTGCCGTCCTTGTAAGGAAAGATATCCCACATAAACAAATTCAGGTGCAATCAGATATATCAACTATTGCTATCGAAATTAACTTAGGATTTATTATCACAGTCTTATGCACATACATCCCACCACAACAAACTTTTGAATTAAAAGACCTACAAAATATTATTAAAAATTTTAAAACAGACCTGATTATAACTGGAGACTTTAACGCCTGGAGCCCCTTCTGGGGCTCCGGGGTAACAAATCAGCGAGGGAGAGTGTTAGAAGATCTTATCCTCACAGACAATTTTATTGTCCTCAACGATAATGCACCCACGCATTTCTCCACACACCAGTCATTCACGCATGTAGACATAGCTTTATGCTCAGCGAGTATTGCCCCAAAGCTTTCGTGTTCCACACTGGACTGCCTGCACGGTAGTGACCACTTCCCTCTGGTTACAAAACTTACATCCGCCATCTCAAACCCCGGCAAACCGAAGCCAAAATTTAAAACAGAGAATGCAAACTGGTCCAAATTTAAAACAGTGGTCCTCTCAATGATCACTCAGGCCCCAAAGTCGAACAATGTTAATAAAGAAGCTAGTTTACTCCAGAAAGCTATCCGTACCGCTGCACACTTTTCAATGCCACAAACTCAAAGCAAACAACTCAAGAAAGTAGTTCCATACTGGTCCGCAAGCCTGAGCAGCCTGCGAGACGAAAAAAAGAGGCTTTGGTATACCTACCGGAGAAATCGGTCTGTATATAATCTTATTAACTACAAAAGAGCGAACGCGATTTTCAAAAAGAACATGAAGGAAGCTAAACGGAAAAGCCTGGAGTCAATAACAGCGTCGATAAACCCTACCTCAAATCCAAAAAAGGTCTGGTCCGACATCAGAACTCTAACCGGCTCTAACAAACCCCCCACCATACAGTTTTTAGATACCAACCAGGGCCCTATCTACGCGCCAGAAGAAATGGCCAACCATTTCGCGACTATCTGGGCGGAGTATTCGGAAGACTCCAACTTCAACCAAGAGTTTATTTCAAAAAAATATAATACCATCAGCAATGAGTACATTAACACCACCAAACTTACTCTTAGCAACAGGATTGAATGTCCGTTTACCACATTTGAGTACGACTCCACAATTTCCGCGATGTCTGGTAAAACACCCGGCAGGGACAGAATATCATATCCAATGCTAAAAAATTTACCGTGTCAAGTAAAAGAAAGGGTTATTGACTTATATAACGACATTTTCGAACACGGTATATTTCCGCACATGTGGAAACATGCCATAGTGGTTCCAGTCCCTAAAACAAATGGCCCCTCCACAATGACTTCCGGGTATAGGCCGATATCCCTTCTGCCTTGCTTGAGCAAGGTACTAGAGCGAATCGTCGCAAAACGGATAATGTGGTTCGTAGTTACTAAAGGGTGTACAAGTCCCAATCAATACGCATTTAAAGAAAGTCATAGTACAATTGATGCCCTCTTATCGTTCGAAAATTTCGTTTCCAATGCCATCGCAACAAAAAATCACGTCTTTTCCCTTAGTCTAGACTTCGAAAAAGCCTACGACAGGATCGGCATTCACGTAGTTTTGAGGCAACTTGCTAGATGGAAAATTGGTTCTAGAATTTATAATTTCGTAAAGAATTTTTTGACAAATAGAACTTTCTCCGCAAAAGTTAACAATAAATATTCTAAAACACACAAGCTTCAAAACGGCATACCTCAGGGCTCTCCGCTCTCGGTAGTTCTATTTATAGTTGCTTTTGATGAAATTAACAACATACTTAATAATTACAAAAGAATATCCTATGTAATCTATGCCGATGATGTCATTTTGTTCACTAAATGTAAAGAGTTATCACAAGTACATACGGATTTTAATCAAATCCTTACAGACATTTCCGTTTGGTCACAGAATTCGGGAGCATCTCTTTCTTATGAAAAATGTAAAATGTTACACCTTTGTAATAAACATGCTTGTCAACCGCTTAATTTAAGTATCAACAATGTTAATATTGCGAACTGCGATAGCTTAAGAATCTTAGGTATTATTTTCGATAAAAAACTGACTTACAAAGATCATTGTACTTATATTAAAAAAAACCTAATAACTCGCCTTAATATTGTTAAGTACCTATCGTCGAAGCACTGCTTTGTACACCCAACAACGCTTATAAACATAACGAAAGCACTTATCCTGTCAAAAGTGGACTATGGCCTAACAATCTATGGGCACTGCTCAAAAAGTCAGCTTAAATTAATAACACCAGCATACCACGCAGCAGCTCGGAGAAGCATACGGGCCTTCCCTACTTCACCACTGAAATGCATTTTAATGGAAGCTGGACTTCCGTCCATACAAGAACGAGTAACTCATAACACACTGAGGCTAATTCCTAAAATACTTAACGGCAATAATCGCACGCTCAACAAATTGGTAGCTTCAGAAATTTTAAGAAAGAGACCACTAAAACGTAAGTCCACAATCGCCAGATGTATTTCTTTGGCGAAGCCACTAGGCCTTACAATTACACCAAAGACTCCAGTATTCAAAACACCGCCGCCTTGGCAATGCCTCAACAGTTTTATTTGTTCCGAGCTCATGGCCTATCACAAAACGAATACTTCACCACTAGTTTTTCGTAGTATTTTTTGCGAACTCAGTACAGACCTTAAAAACAAAGGTTGGAATTTTTTATACACGGACGCGTCGAAAACCATTTTTCATACAGCATTTGCAGTTGTCGACGAAAACAAAAATACCTTGCGTGCGGGTCTACTCTATCCTTTTTGCTCAGTTTACACAGCTGAAGTAGAAGCGATACGTCAAGCGGTTAAAATTGCATTGATCACAAACAAGAAGTTTATTATCTGCACCGATAGTCTTTCCGCAATTAACATGTTGACTAATGTGAAGAATAAAAACGCCCTTGCTTTGTCAATACGCTCCATGTTGTCAGAACGAAAGGAAACGATAAAAATTATGTGGGTCCCAGGCCATGTTGGCATTGCCGGCAACGAAGCGGCTGACCAGAGAGCAAAACTTGCCACTAACGAACCACTAATTACTTGCCAGGCTGTCCTAAATAGTGACGTACTCCTACTAATCCAAAGGCAAATAACAAATACTAAGATACAGAATTGGACCAACTTCAGACATCACTATTCTAATTACAACCTAGATGGAAATAAACCAAGTTTTCCACTGAACGTATCCTGTAAAGATTTAAGACTCTTTACTCGGCTGCGAATTGGTCACTCAATCATCACGCATAGCCACATTCTAAAAGGAACAAATAAACCGCAGTGTCCATATTGCAATTCAAATAACCTCACAGTAATTCATCTTATTGACGAATGCCCATCCTTTAACATAATCAGGAAAGAAGTTTTCGGTATTAATACCCCGTCGAACTACTTAAAAGATGTGGAGACAAGAAACATACAAACAGTCGCAAAATTTTTTAGATTAACGAATTTAAATAAACTGATTTAAAAATGTATTATGTATAGGTTAAGTATATTGAATTAATATTAATAAGTTTTTTCTAGAGAGCCGAAGGTCTATGCAACTAGCGCTCCTTATTTATTGTAAGTCAGTGATTGATCACTTTCTTTCTGTATAATAATAATAATAATAATAATAAAAATGTGCAAGTTTGAAGTAGCCAGAAATTACCGTAAATTTTTTTAAATTCTTTTACTTACGCTCTTCCGTATTTTTTCATATACGCATGCTCGCATTTTTTTAATGATATTTTTATGAAAATTCTATACATATTTTTAAATCTTCTACAAAGTTTGAAACTTGCATTTATATGGATTTTGTTAGAGAATGAACTGCATTTTAACTGAAAAATAATGGAAACTAATAAAAGAAAAAAATAACCCAAAAAAGCGAAAAATCATTGTCCCTATTCAAGCGCACTGGAGTGTATGTATGCTAATTGCGAAGAAAAAGTGAGGTTATCATTAAATGCAGTAAAAGTGCATCCCTACACAACATAAACTTAACTCAAAACAATTCAGTACGTTATGGCAGTTGCATCTACGCAAAAAAAAACTGTATGAATTCAAAGAAACATAGCACATGAGGTTTTTGTTATGTAAAACTTGTTAGTTGATATTTATAAAAGTATTTATTGGTAAGTATTTTCTCTGAATTTTTATTTGTTAAAAAAACACCACTCTTTCACTGTTCACAATTCAACACTGCAAGATTCCCCTTGACTCGAAAAACTAAAAAAAAAAAAACAAATCGATACTTGAACATACCAATTTCGATGGAACGATCAGTCTCGATATTTTCAAGATTTTTCACAAATTACAGGAATGACCCTTATTTTGTCAAAGTAACGTTCTATACGTTTATATGCAAATGCTGATATGACCTATGACTTGTACACCTTAAAATAGCTAGTAATCGTGTGCATAGTAGTTAATTTTAATTTAAAATATAACTTACAAAAATAAAGAAACAGAACTAGTTCTAATAATAGTAACAATAACGCGAAAACACAGAATTTATAACAAAAATGTATATAAAAAATTCAGAAATTTAATCAAACATAAGCTTAAACAAAAACTTAACCAAATTAAGTAACTCATCTCTATAGAGCACATATTATTTTTAAATTAAACAGAAATAAATTTATGGAACCCTTAGCTATACATAAATACATATATCAACATATATATCGTTACCTTTAATATAGACAACCCCAACTAATTTTCTTTCGAAATTCAGCTTCGTACAAAAGTCGGCTAATAGACTTTGAAAGCAACTACACCATTTAATAAGTTTCATAAGTACTCCGTAAAGAAATAAATTATTAGATAGGGCCTTTCTATATGTATTAAGGTAACGATATGTAGGTATATATATATATATCTTCCCCTCTCCAACGCTAAACCCCACCAAATCCCTCTTTAACTCACACCCGCGCCACCTATCTTCCCCACCATTATGCGCGCGCTTACAAATTAATCTGTAAATCTAATTTTCTAATAATATCCTTCGCCTTGTTAAGGCTCGCCGGTCCGTGTGTGTTGGTTGTAGCCATCTTATACAAGTCGCCCATATATTTCTCGATATTATCCATGGTTGCGCCATTCGGCTGCGTTGGTAAGGCCAAACTGGACAGCGCCTGCGCCAACTTCGATTTCAACTTTTCCAAGTACAATTCAAGTAAATGATTCTTCTCCGCTAGCTCGTCATTTTCGTTAGTCAACTTCTCTACTCCGAATTTCATATTCTCCACATGTTTCTCCAACACAGCATTCTGTGTGTCTAAATCTGATTTGGATTTGCGTAGCGTACGCAATTCCATATCGAAAATTTTATTATGCTCTAGAAATTCATTGGTGAAAATTGGTATTTCGCCAGGTACGACAGTGGCGGATAAGAGAGTTGATGCGGTATTATCAATTGTTTCTGTTGTTGGTTTGCTGTTGTGATTGTTGCCGGAAGTGGCATTGTTTGGGGTGCTTGTGTAAGCGATGGTGTTTCTGTTGTTATTGCTACTTTGTGCGCGAGGAGGTGTTGGTGTACGCTTACGTCGATGTTTGTTGTCTGTTGCTTTTGCAGCCGGCGGTGGCGAGTTATCCTTTTCGGAATTGCGCCGCGATTTATCCTTGCTGGCGGCGTTTGTGCTGACGTGCGGCTCTTTATTCGGTGATTTGATATTGCCAGATGATTGTGATTTCTCCTTCAATACGGGTTTTCCAGCTTCCCCAGGACCTTTGTTCTTTTGCTGCTTACTCTTCGCCAGCTCACAAGCCAACACATCAGGACGTTCTTTAAGGAATGTGTGCAATTCATCGAGATAGCTGAAAGTAAGACCAGTACATTGATTAAATAGTTATGCATACGTGTATTAATTATATCGTCGATGTTTTAGCAAAACCGCCTATCTTACGGCACTCAAATTTTACAGGAAAACGAAAAAAGGGCTTTCTTTGAAAGTATTGCATTTTTTGCAGATTTTGCAAAAATATCGAAATAAGTGTCAAAGTGAAGGTTTGTGATTGGCCTTGTTGTAGCAATGTTTCTTAAATCTCTAAACAAACTTTTAGGAAAAAATTGTGCTCATACTTAACTCGCTTAAGGCATCTAGTAGGTCAAGGTCAACATATAAGGAATCATAAATATTCTCACGTGGTCAAGAGACGATAAGGATCGCCCTGAATGATTTCGCTACGGAGTTGTTGGTTTTAACAGCATACAAATTCCACAAAGAGATCTTGGGGAATGATACTGAAGTCACAGTTTTTTCCCTTTATTATTACGGCTTTTTAGGAATAAAACTCAAAATATAGTAAAACTTTACAGTTCATAACTTTAATGAATGTGATGGGCACCTAGACGATGACGGTTGCATCCAAGTGAACCCCTCGTCTGGACCGTAGATATGTACATATGAATCTGCGTAGTTCCGGTTATGTAGAACCGACTGCCGCGGGAACAAGGGCGTAATCTCTACTTCCGACTTTCCGGAATTAAAATTTTACGCGCTCTCCTCCACTCCTTACGAACATAAGATATGGACTTGCTGTACATATCTGATTTACTAGGGCTGTACCATCTACTCCCGTGGTTTTGTAGCGATCAAAGCCCATGTTACTGACAACCGGTCGCCTGCTTACTGGAAGAGGAAGTGTGCAGAAAGCAGACCGATTGCCCACTCCATTATTGTTCTATGTATAGTTTTCTGGCTAGTGCTTTGTATATGACAAGGAATAAGAAAGTAATTAAAAAGTAATCATAGGCATGAAATAAGCACATGTTAACCAAAATGTTATATTAAGAAATTCAAGTTTTCGTTCAGATATTTTAGGAAACCAATTTTGTATTAAATACTTAAAAATTGTCTGTAGTTGAACAAAGTCGGTTAGCCTGTTAAACTAGGCGTTATTAAGAAACTTTTGTTGGTATATACTGGCCAATAAACCTGTTTATGTTAAATTTGTATATGTAGAGATAGGGACGTTCCGATACCATCAAAGTATCGATACCTACTCAAATGAGTTTACTCAAATCCCTATTTCGATAGTACTTATATGAGTGAACCGAATGTATCGATACCTACTTATATCGATAACTTTTCATCCTTTTATATGCAACAAGGCGAAAGTAATTTTCAAGCGTTATCTGTGATCGACCTATCTCGGCAGCCAGATTGAAATCGCCCTATCTGAGAAAACTTTTAAAAAGCACCATATTCCAGAATTTGATTGAAAAACGCCTTATATCAGAAAACTTTTCAAGACCACCCCATTTTCAATATATTTTCAGTTGAGGTATCGATATGTTTATTTGATCATTAGTAACATTAGAAGTAATACGATTACTTAGAAATGTAAATAAACCTTTGAAAGGTTCCCACAAAACGTTACGGCTACAAAGCATTGCTTAAACTTTGTAAAAATATATCCCCTCTTTAGATTTTGGAGGTGCCATTGCTTAGATCAATTATTTTTCATAAAAGCAAAGCAATTATTTTCCATAGAAAATATATGACCGAAAGATATGGCACTTCCTCAAATCGATTCGATACAAGCACTTTTATTTCGATACTAAGTAGGTATCGATAAAACGATTCAAGTAAAAAAAGTAGTTTGGTATTGAAACAAAAGTATCGAGTACATACTCGTATTTACTTATATCGGAACATCCCTATGTATAGATACATGTGTCAACAATTGCATGGACATCTTCAAAGGTTGTATTTATTGGTAGGTACATAATTTATGCGAATTCCTAAACCTTGCTCTTCCTCTGCATGTTCGGATAGATACCGCCATGTAAGCATTCAAACACACATAGCAACAATCATAATATTCAACGTCACTTTTTGCAAACGAAAATATAAATAAAGTTGACAAGCAACATTATTTTGCCTATAGCTACGGTGACCATCCGTCCTATATTATGCGGGACAGTCCTCTTTTATGACCAATTGTCCTGCTAATCCAGTTTTAAATGATGTTGGTATATGATCGTGCTCTTCTCCATAAACAGTTATTATTTTCTAATAGGAATGCCTGTAATTCGAATCGAGGTATATATACAGTGACCAAAATATAAATTAAGGCTCGACATTTTAGCAACGCTTTGCTATTTTTCTTTTGTTTATTTTATGATAGTAAAGCTATTTTCGTAACAAAAACCATATTTCCGACTTTGTGCAAAAAACTATAAAAAAACTTTTTAATCAGAATCTTTAGATAAAAATTGAAGTTTTTCAGTTCATTAAAACTGAATATAATAAAGTTTGCAAGTGCAGGGGCTGCTCATTTATTTTCATTTTACAAATATTGTCGAACATACTTTGTGCGAAAAATGCGTCCCACCGTCAACAGGAAATTCCAAAAAAATTAACGGTAAGTCTTAGCTACTTCAAACTTGAACTTGCACTTTATTGTAATAAAATTTAAGGAATTTTTCGTAATTAATTTTGTGGGGTAAAATCTCGTGAAAAAATATCCTATAAATTTGAGATGTTACATTAAGGATGCTGTTTCAGGTCTAATACATATAGGGTCATTGAAGAAGATTTTAAGATTTGTTAACTTCTGCGGAAAATATTAAAAAATTATTTTT